AGTCCCTGCTGCTCCTGGCTGAAGGTGAGAAAGGAGGTGCACAGTGCAGGGACCCAGAACCCAATCTCCAGAGTTCTCGCCATGGCTCAGCAAGGCCTGGGGGGAACCCATCCAGACACCACCAAACCATGACTCCTGGGTCCTTCCGTGTTAAAGCTCTGGCCCAAAGCCTGGCCCCAGATGAATGTGGCCACATGTAGGGCTGGACACTTCCCCAGGATCCACGGAAAACCAAGCAGCCTAGATCCCGTGTCAGAAAAACCAGCTCCCTCACATCTCATCCAAATCTCTCTTGCAACTTTCCTCTCAGTTTCTCTCAACTGTCCCCTCGGCTTCCATTCCTGTTGCCCACCTCCTCTCTCTAGAGTGCTAACGCATAGGGGGCTCTACAAGATTTTCTTTCCACCCTACCACTCGAATCCTCTATTTTTCACCCGAATCTGAGATTCCTACGCCCGTCCCTTCCTACATCGTAATTTGCTTTTTTCTGAAGGAATTATTCTGGTCCCTCACTCTCACCCTCATCTCTCAACTCAACAGCCTGCTCTCGCCTCCCCGCACCCTGACCGGCTCCCTCTCCTCCCCGCTGCTCTCCCCCAGGTACCCCTGATTCTTCACCCTGCTGGGCCCTGAGCTCTAAGGCTGTTCTTTTTTCTCGGCCCCTGTACCTTCTTCCGCTATGGTGGACCCCCTGAACCCACCCCAGCACCCCCCTCAGCCCCTTCCCGCCCCCAACCGACCCTTCCCGAACGCCCCTTACCCAGCGCGAGACCCCCTCGGCCCTTTGGCCACCCCCCCGCACCTCGTCCCCGGCCCCGCCCCGCCCCGACTGCGCCTGCGCCAGGCGGGCTTGTTGGCGGGTCGCTCTAAAGCCCTCATTCGCCCCGGAAGGAGGAGGGGAAAAGTGCACGCAGGCGCCGTGGCGTCCAAAGCTGGGCCCAATTAATGCGACGGGGTGTCTCGGCGCCCTGGTGGCTCCTCCCCACTCAGGGAACCCGGGAAACTTGTGAACGAATCAGAAAAAGCGAAAGGCGGGAGATCGGGGACCCTCCCAGCGCGCAGCCCAATGGAGCGGGGGAGGGCAAATGAGCTGGGCAATCAGGGACGGCAAGGGGCGGGCTCGCTCGGTGCGAAGTTCGGACCCGGGAATTCCGAAGGTGGGGTCGGCGCAGCCCGCGCGCTGAGGCCGCGCCCCTCCTGGCCCCCGCTTCCTGGCTGTCAAACAGCCGCGGGAGCGCCGGCTCCGGCCGAGGAGTGTGAGGGGTCCCCGGGCCGCCGCACAGGCTGGCACTGCCTGGAGAGGAGGCTATTCCGAGACTGCACCGCACAGGTAGATCCGAAACTGGGGTGGGGCAGGGAGGGAAAAGGCCGGGTTTGTCTTGGCATGATCGCGGGGAGTTCCTTCCTCTGTTTTCATCCCACCCGGCGAAGCCAGGAAGCAGGGGTCTAGATCCACTTTGTTGGAGTACTTAAGGACCCGTTTGCATTACCTTTTGGGAGGTGACGGTGGATTCATGTCCCTCGGGGGGTTCAGACTACCTAGTTATGAGGGATTGGCCATAAAAGCGGGGCGCGGGCGAGCGGGGCGGGGTGCTGTATTTGGATAACCAAGTTTGACAGGAAGAAGCTTCTCTTCTCCAAGTTACACTGAGGTGATACATTCAAACGTACACTTCAAACGTACATTCAAACGTATAAAAACGTATACTTGGCAATACAAACAGCAGGACATATCTCCAGTTTGCATTTCCCCAGAAGCTGTCTAATGTATCGTTGCCTTGCACAGATCGGAGGCTCCCCGAATACTTTGCGGCCCGACAATCCGGCTCAACCGAGGTGCCATAGGACGCGTTCCTGTTTTTGCATTGCCCTGGGACCTTCCTAGACTTTTTCAGTTACAAATCTGCTTCACAGCTAACTTTGCATTTCGTGCCTAGGCTGCTTGCACTCTGAATTTGCACTACTCAGCTAGTGTGCTCAGTTGAAATTACACACAGCACAGCCCAAGTTTGCATCAGGCCAGTGCATGGCCCAGGAGTGGGAAAGGTGTTGGATGCCTGAAGTGGAAGAGGTGATGCAGAGAGGGCACCGCCCATGCTGCCCTGCTTCCAGCTGCTGCGCATAGGGGGCGGCAGGGGCGGTGATCTCTACACCTTCCACCCCCCCACTGAGGCTGGCTGCACCTATCGCTTGGGCCGCAGGGCCGACCTGTGTGATGTGGCCCTGCGGCCCCAGCAGGAACCTGGCTTCATCTCTGGGGTCCATGCTGAGCTGCATGCTGAGCCCTGGGGTGATGACTGGAGGGTGAGCCTGGAGGACCACAGCAGCCAAGGTGAGCAGTGAGTAAGGCAGCTTTACCCCTGGGCAATCAAAGTTCCAGGCTGGAATGATTAAGGGGTTCCACAGGGACCCCGCTACCTGCCTCCTATACTCACCATCAGGTTGAACAGAGGGTCGTGGTCCAGACCGCAGCCTTCCCAGAAGTGTGCAGTGTCACAAACTGTAGGACTGACTCTTGTTGGTCCTGTTTAGCTCATACAGGAAATACAGGAAGGTAGATCCAGGGCCTGGGGCATCATCAGAGAGGTGTCACAGTGGGGATGTTTTGGGGCCACTGGAGGCCAAACTCAGACTTGTTTCCAGCTTTGCTGAGGCACTTTATTCCTGTTAGGGCAGTTGTATGTTGAATTTTTTTATGATCTGGGCATGTGTCTTTCTGACTTCAGGCAGTTAATCATCCTCAGAAGACCTGGGTTCACATTTGAGTTCTGCCACTGGCCCCTGGCAAAACCTCAGGCCTGTCACTCCACCTCTCTGGGTCTTAGTTTCCTCTTAGGTGAAATGTAAGTCTGCTTTGGAGGTGTTCTGGGCATTTGACTATGGTGGCCAACATTCATTTAGTGCTTACTCGTATGAGCCAGGCACTGTTTTAAGTGAATTAAATGTAGGTGGCACCAATATCCTAGTTTTACAGTTAAAAAAAAAAAAAAAGGCACAAAGAGATTAAGAAACTTGTCCAGGGTCACATGGCTGGTAAGTGGTACAGCCAGGATTTGAACCAGTCTGAGGTATGTTGAGACAGAGTTGGAGCTGGGTGAGAGTGAGCATATCTGGGGATTGGCCTTCAGGAGAGTGTGGGAAGGAGTCCTCTGTAGGAGAGCACAAGAAACATAAACTTGTTCCAGCCGATGAGGAGCTTACTACCTGGTGTCACCTTCTGAGGGGCTTAGAATGTGAGGGAGAATTTGATGACAGGTGTCATGTTCTTCCCCACATTCCCCAGAAATCAAACAGGGCCAGAATTCTCCACTCCTGACTCTGCTCACTTGTTTTTGTCCTCCCTGTCTGTCTGGTGCCCTACCATCAACAGGGACTTTGGTCAACAATGTCCGACTCCCAAGAGGTCACAGGCTGGAGTTGAGTGATGGGGACCTCCTGACTTTTGGCCCTGAAGGGCCCCCAGGAACCAGCCCCTCGGAGTTCTACTTCATGTTCCAACAAGTCCGAGTCAAACCTCAGGACTTTGCCGCCATTACCATCCCACGGTCTAGGGGAGAAGCCGGGACTGGGGCTGGTTTCCGGCCCATGCTGCCCTCCCAGGGGGCCCCACAGAGGCCCCTTGGCACCCTCTCCCCTGCCCCCAAGGCCACGCTGATCCTCAACTCCATTGGTAGCATCAGCAAGCTCCAGCCCCAGCCCCTCACCTTCTCCCGGGGTGGGGGTGGGCCACAGAGCCTGCCTGTTCCCACGCCACCTGGGGCGGGGACCACTCCTTCTGCTCCACCCGCAAGAAATCGGAGGAAGTCAGCTCACCGAGTGTTGGCGGAACTGGATGATGAGAGGGAGGTTCAGAGCCCTGCACCAGTCCTCACAGGGCCCAGGAAGAAACTCCGCATCGAGAAAGCCCCACTGACACCCAGTGGGTAAGTTAAGAGTCCTCTCCATCTTGCCTCAGTATTTCACTGCTTTTTGATTCCTTTAGAACCCCAGGTTGTAAGAGGACTCCTCTGCTTGTGGGGTGGGCATGGGAGGTGGACAGAGACAGAATAGAGGTTAGAATGGCTGGCCAGTTAGCTCAGTTGGTTAGAGCACAGCCTTACAACATTAAGGTCACAGATTCAGATCCCCATACTAGCCAGCCACACACGCACAAAAACGTTGGCATGGCAAGACCTGAGAGCTGACAGAAGAAAAAAATATGAAGACTTAGGTCGAGTTGGGGCAGCAGCCTACATAGCTATAAAACCACCTGAGCAGGCAGGTCAGTAGAAATAAAATTCCTGCCTTTTACGTTCAGATGACTTTAACCCCATTCTTCTAGTGCCTAAGGATGCACAACTTCCAGGCTCACCCTGCCGGTTTTCAGGGACTAGTTTCTAGGCCCACCCTAATGTTTTTAAGGACAGACTTCAGGTTCACATCAGTCCAGTGTGTCTGTGTAGGTTCACTCTGTTATCCAGGGGCAAGGTCTAGGCTTCCATAGGTTTCCAGTGACTGTTTGTCACTTCCACTCAGCAATCGACGTGGCCGTCCTCGGAAGCACCCAGTGAGCACCAGCATGGCTCCCCCTGCAGCTGGGGGTGGAGAGCCCTGTGCAGCTCCCTGTTGCTGCCTGCCCCAAGAAGAGACAGTGGCCTGGGTTCAGTGTGATGGTTGTGACATCTGGTTCCATGTGGCCTGTGTTGGCTGCAGCATCCAGGCTGCCAGGGAGGCTGACTTCCGATGCCCATGCTGCCGTGCTGGTATCCAGACCTAAGGCCCACCACCAAGGCACCAGAGGACGCAGAACTGGCACCTCCAGAACACTGATGGACACAGTGGGGTGTAAATGGGTCCTAAGAAAGGACCCCCTTATTTCCTTAATAGGAGGGAATGACTATGGGGAAGAACCCATTGCTATGGATACTGATTCAAGGCCTGTAACAGGCCCTCATGACCAAGGTGACATAAGAGTTTTCCTGCCAAATATATTGCTGCCTCCAGGAAGTTGTCAGTGAGCTAGAAATTCCCAGTTACAAGCTGTACAAGGACACCAGAATGTCTGATCAGAGCACCCATCAATTGCAAAAGCCTGCTTGCAACTGCTCAAAGATGTAAGAGGAGAATTCTTAATGTTTTTAAATGGCATCACCTAAGGCATTCTGCAAAAACCTAGGGCCTGGTCCCAAAACTTTCTTATACTATGGCTAGTCCTGCTGCTGACCATAATCACAGTGACCTGGCTTTTCAGTGATTTGCTTCAATTTCCAAGTAAAGAATGAGTAGTTTCACTCACTCCTGGGTATTTACTCTTCTTGTGGGTCTGATATCCCTTGCTTCCCAATTCTTGGGAGAATGGAGTTGGTAAGGTCTGGAGAACAATTCAGATTCTTGGGGGAAGGGGAGGAGAGATGAACAGAGAAATACAAACTTGCTCACTGGAAAGGTGCAAATACATGGGATGAGCTGGAGGCAGGAGACAGAAAAAAAGGAACACAAGTAACAGTTTCTAGTTTAAGGGAAAACAGATATACTGCCATTAAAGTAAGGTAGTTGGGATTTGGTCAAGTTCAAGAGGATGACATAACTTTTACAGGCTTCCCCTGTACTAGAGAAAAAGAATACTTGGTAAACCAGCTGCAGCAGATGCTGACCTGGTCAAGTGTGATCAGCCTCTTAACCTACGTATGGCACATGTGATTTTCTCTGGTGAACCTTACACCAAGCCAAGATATTGTCAAAACATCGTTTCTACTGTTATTAGAAAAGCATTATCTTTACCTACTGAAACATGCATGTCCATCTCCTCCAACCTAGGCTTTCCACATCAAGGAAACAGCTGCAGAGCAAAGGCCACTAATTAGCTAGTGGCAGGGCCAGGGATAAAATGTGGCTATTGGGTGAGTCACTTATGGACAGGGTATGCAGAATTCTTAAATGGAAACCAAATACCTGCTGGCATGAAGAAAGCACAAGGTGTAGGGCCAGCCCATGGGTCACTTGGGAGAGCATGGTGCTGACAACACCAAGTCAAGGGTTAAGATCCCCTTACCGGTCAAATATAAAGGAAAAAAAAAAAAGAAAGCACAAGGTGGAGTTTCAGGTTGGGATGATATGCAGCAGATTGTCTAAAGACTTGAAAGAAAAGAAAGCACAAGGTGGAGTTTCAGGTTGGGATGATATGCAGCAGATTGTCTAAAGACTTGATTTCTTAGTATCAAGACACTAAGGAACTTCCAGAGTAGAATGGGGAAAGCAAAAATAGCCAGCTCCTAAAGGGTAATGGGCTGCATGGTAACAGCATCTGTGGGCAGAATTATGGTGTGCAGGGCCGGCCCGTGGCTCACTCGGGAGAGTGCGGTGCTGATAACACCAAGGCCCCGGGTTCGGATCCCATATAGGGATGGCCGGTTCGCTCACTGGCTGAGCGTGGTGCTGACAACACCAAATCAAGGGTTAAGATCCCCTTACTGGTCATCTTTTAAAAAAAAAAAAAAAAAAAAAAAAAGAATTATGGTGTGCAGACCCCATGTCACAGGCTCTCAAGAACTAGCCTATTAGGGCCCCTCAACAGATAAACTTGGGTTCCAATTCCAACTCTCCCAATCCCAGCTCTCACTATGTCCTCGAGCACTTTGAATGGCACCTTGATTACTTGAGGACGAGAGCAGTTACCATTGGGTATCCCCTCCCCATGCCCCCCCCTTCAGTGACTAAAGGAGGATAAACCAAAGACACAAGTATCTATTCTACTGTGTCCCAGGCTTCTTTATTTAAGAACAAAGTGATGAGTGATGTGGGGATTAAAATCAAGAGCATCATTGAACTTCACCTTCCCTCTAATCAGTTCCCCCAAACTTCCCTGCCCCCACGCTTTGTGTTCCCAATTCCTTCCTTAGTGAATGAAGAACTTACTCCCAAAAGCCCAGGTACATACTCCAGGTTCCCTTTCCCTGGCTTCTCTCCTTTCCTAGGAAGGGCAAGCACCTCAATTTGAATGCATGGGAGAGCCCAGAGTGGTGACAGAGACAGGAGGAAAGGCTTCCCCCTCTGGAAAAGGGACCGAGGAGTACAGCGTAGTGAAGTGAGGGCTCCCATATCCTGGGGTACCAAAGTGGGGCCCTGGGGTCAGAGGAAAGGACACTGGTGCCCCTGAGAAAGGAGACCCAGCAGCCTCAAAATCCTCTCGCTGAGAATAGTCAATGCTTGATCGTTTGCCCTTCTGGCGCCGGTTGCAGAACCACACTCGGACCACCTGGGAGTAGACGACACAAGGGAGAGTGACATTGGACTATAAGCTCTGAGAGGTGGGTCTGGCTTTGCTTGGTCATCTCGCCCAAAGTCAACAGCCCTAGAGTGGCTGGAGGGCATGAGCCAGAGCTAGGGAAAGGGAGACGATGGCTGGAGAGGAGAGGGAGCACAGGGGACAGGGGCACTCACATCCTTCTCCAGCCCAAGCTGCTGGGCAATGTGGCTGATCTGCTGCAGCGTGGGTTTTGGGCACTGCAGGAACAAGGTCTCCAGGTTGCCTCTCACTCGGTTCTCAATACTCGTTCGCTTTCTCTTTCGGGCCTGCACAAGGGTCTCTGCTTTGCATATCTGGGCAGGTGGGGAGGGGTGACAAGGGCAGGCTTTGGATCTGCTGAGCAACAGCACCACAGGGTCAGTGACTGGAGAGGAAATTGCTAAGGGGGCAATGACTGGATGTGTCACCAGAGCTGAGGAATTGCATTCCACCCCATTGAGAACTACTGCTCCCAAGAGGGAGCATGGCAACCAGGGATGGAAGCTGGGCTGAGCCCCGGCAGGTCCCCGTGCATCCCTCCCTCCCTTCCTCACCTCCTGAAGGTTTTCGTTGTTGTCCGCTTCCTCCACCCACTTCTGCAGCAGGGGCCGCAGCTTACACATGTTCTTGAAGCTGAGCTGCAGAGCCTCAAAGCGGCAGATGGTCGTTTGGCTGAACACCTTCCCTGCGGGAAGCCAGACGAAAGAAGAATGTGAGGCAGCACGTGGGACACTCCTGATGCCAAGACCCAGGCCTCCCACCACTTCCACCCTCACAAAAGCCCACACCAGGGTCCCACTTCTTCCCACAGGGAGGCTCAAGGCCCAAGTATCTTCTCCCCCTTCCTTTCTCCTCTCCCTCTTCATGGGTAAGGGTAGGGCCTGCCCCTGAAACACACTCCTTCCTCTTTCCTTGGTGGGGAGAAAAGGCCTAAGTTCAACAATGTTCATTCCAGATGTGGTCCCTGTGGGTCAGAACATGCTCAGGGGACCCACCAAAGAGAACCCCCAGAGTGAGCCCCACATCAGCCTGGGTATATCCTAAGGTGATCCTCTTCTGCTTCAGGAGCTTGGCAAATTGCTCGAGTTCTTTCTGCAGAGCCTGGATGTCCTGGGACTGTGTTTAAAAAGGCAGAGGACTTATAAGAACATAAACACACCAGTTGTCAACCTCCCCTTTCCATGTGGGGATCAAGAACCTGACTGGCCCCAAGGAAACATCTGTGGGAGTATCCCTGCCTCCCAGGCTGCCCACCTAACATCTAGAAATAACCCATCTACAAATGTCATTCACCCATTCACTGCTCATTGACACATGCATATGACGAGGGACTGCTCTTCCTCCAGAAAACAGCACATCCAGGAGACAGAGCACCATGCAAAGATGGAAAGACAGGCCTTGGTCTCAGTGAGAACACCTGCCAGGTTGTAAAGGGTGCTCTCCCACCTGAAAGCTCATTTAATACTCACAAAAGTCCCTTTGACTCAAGAATTACCCCCAGTTTGAGGAAGTTTTGAAACTACAGAAAGAAAAAAGAGCTCATGTCTGATTCTAAATTCAGTATATTTTCCCCAGTTTGTTTCAAGGACCCCACAAACTCTGACATGGCACGTATACACAAAAAAGTAATAGGTGCCATAAGAGGCACGAATGAAGTGCTTTGTGTATCCTTGGTGCTTGTTTTTTTTTGTTTTTTTTTTTTGTCTGATTATTTCCTTTTCTTACTGTTTTTTTTTTTTTTTTTTTTTTCAATATAGAGGCATCCTCATTGATTGATTCAACAGATATACTGAGTACCTTCCGTAAACCAGTAGCCACACAAAGTAGAGAAAAAGCCCTGACCTTATGCAGCTTACATTCTAATGTAGTGAGACAGGTAACTATACCCTGTATGATAGAAGTGCTGAAGAAAAAAATAACGCAGGCTGCAGGAGTAGAGCAGTACAGGAGACTGGAGGAGGGTGACAATTTTAAGCAATATATTTTGAGATGGTGATATTTGAGCAAATGGCAAGAGGGTAAGAGCTGAGGATGTGAGAGAGCACAGGGGATCTGGGCAGATTCTATAGAGGCCACAGTGACTTTGCACAGCTCAGAATGAAATGAGAAGCTGCTGGAGTGAAATGATCTGACTCCCACATTTTAAAACTGTAGTTGGTATGTTAGTAACAGCCTGTAAGGAGCTACTGCAGTAATCTCGGCAGATGTTGGTGGCAAGGGCCAGGGGGTAGGACGGGATTGATTCAGGATATATTTGGAAGGTAGAGGTTGTAATTTCCTAACAGGATGTAGGATGTGAAAGGAACCGAGGATAACTAGCTTTGGCCTTGAGCAACTGTGTGATGGGGTGGAGCAGATCAGGGAGCCTTGCAGGCAGGAGACACAAAATGTGGTAGTCATCTGATATCTAATGGTACGTCAGGGTGGATGAGAGGAAGGAAGGGTAGATACACCAGCGGTGGAAGGACAGAGCCCTCGGGCACTCCAGGGAAGCATGGCCGGCCAAGAGGAGCAGCAGCTAGTGAGAAAAAACAAGGCCTCTGTGCAGTGGGAAGTGTTTCAATGGTGATCGATCCTATCAAATTCAAATAGGCTAATTTTCATTCCCAACTTCTCAGCCAATGATGAAAACCTATAAATGCCCCCAGCTGTCTTCTCAGCTTTTCCAAATCCAATTTTGGGGATTTGGTTTAATGCAAACCCCAGTTAAAATCCTTGCTTCATCATCTAGCAGTGAAGACCCATGAAACAGGCTAATAACACCTCCCTTGGAGATTTTGTGCCAGTTAATGAGATGATGATGTATAAACTGAGCACACAGCCAGCACTTGGGAAGCAGACCACAGTTGGCAGCCATTATTATTCAGGGCTCAGCAGTCACCTCCTGCAAAGGGTCTGGGGCTGCTCGGTCCCTCCTGAAACCACTCACACCTTCCGTGAAGTCTGAAGGCTTTTAGTACTTGATCTCTAATTGCTTTCACTTGTCGCTTCTGAGGACTGGTAGATCCAT